ATGTGTGTTATAAAATTCTATCTATATAAATACATTTGTTTATCGTCTGCTCCAAAGGTTCACGATAAAAATTATACACAGATATATCGACGGAGGTAGGGAAAGGCTCGCCCCACGGCCATGAACGTGTGTATGAGTGCGAAATTCCCGCTAAACCTGCTTTCAATCGCAGCACATATCACAACAGCAACAAATAATTTCTTAAGTCAGTTCCTTTTTTTTTTTTTACCGGTGAATCCACCGGAAATTACGATCTGATCCACTCCACAATTCTGAACAAATGGTAGCAATGGCTTTCATCAGCAACAGTTCTCCGGCGACATGAGTTTCGTGCCATCGAGATTTTTTCTCTCTTTATTAATTTTCTTCACCTGAGAAAATTTCGATTTCGAAATCGGAATCTTCGATCATGGATTCCGATATGGTGGCCGCGTTGAGAAGGAGTGTGGAAAAAATCACTTTTCTTCTCGATCGAATGGCGGCTCGGAGCCATTCCACTCAAGCTTCCGTTTATAATTGGTAAATCCTGTTCCATCTCCAATATCTTGATGAGTCGTAATTCACAGATTTTTCTTTAGCTTGATGTACATAGATCTAGAAATGATTGTTTTGAGCTTTTTTTGAATCGAAAAAGATGTTGTCGGTGGAACTGCGTCGGGCAAGACAACTGTTTGCAATATGACTTATAATCACTCTCACATTAGTTTATATGAGGTTTAAAATGTTTTTAATTGAGTTTAATCATAGAATGATCATGAACTCGACACACTAATGAGAAAACACTACTAATACACTTCATTTCATTGAATGATACACTTCATCTCATAGAATAATCATACATGACTAATCCGAATTCTACCTATATGTTTCAACTTCCACTATTTTTTTTTTATCCAAATCACGCGTGAACGATCCACGTGTCATGGTAGACATGAAGGATTAGATAAATCACGATTCTTAAAATAGTAACTGTTTTAGCCAAAATAGTACCGCATCTTCTTCTACGTGGTACCTCTTTTTGATCGATTAGTACCTACTTTTGAGAATGAAAATGGATTATTTCAATTCTGGTCAACATTTACAAAAAGTAGTACCAAGCATAGAGTAAGATAGTAGCAGTTTTATATTGTTCTAGTACCTAATATTGGGCCGTTAGTATCACTTGTAATGAACACATAAAAACACTGAATTTCGATCTCAAATGATGTTTGTATGACCATAATCACTCTCACATTAGTTTATATGAGATTTAAAATATTTTTAATTGAGTTTAATCATAAAATTGGCATGAACTCGACAAACTAATGAGAAGACACTACTAATACACTTCATTTCATTGAATGACACACTTCATCTCATAGAATCATCATACATTACTACTCTAAGTTCTACCTATATATTTTAACTTGCACTATTTTTCATCCAAATCACGCATGAACGATCCACGTGTCATGATAGACATGAATGATTAGATAAATCACGATTCTTAAAATAGTACATGTTTTAGCCAAAATAGCATCGCATCTTCTTCTACGTGGTACCTCTTTTGGATCGATTAGTACCTACTTTTGTGAACGAAAATTGATTATTTCAATTTTGGTCAACATTTACAAAGAGTAGTACCAGACATGGAGTAAGATAGTACCAGTTTTATATTTTTCTAGTACCTAATATTGGGTCGTTAGTACCACTTGTAATAAACACATAAAAACACCGAATTTCGGTCTCAAATAATGTTTATATGACCATAATCACTCTCACATTAGTTTATATAAGATTTAAAATATTTTTAATTGAGTTTAATCGTAAAATAGGCATGAACTCGACACACTAATGAGAAAAACACTACTAATACACTTCATTTCATTAAATGACACATTTTGTCTCATAAAATCATCATACATGATTACTCCAAATTTCATTGAATGACACACTTTGTCTCATAAAATCACACGCATTAAAATGATTATTCTATGGTGTATTACCGAATTATATTTTTATATATTTGTTATAAAATAATTTATGTTGTATTCATATTTTTGAAATTATTTTTTCAATAAATATAGTTTTATTTATAATGATTGATGTAATTATTTTTTATTTTATATATGCAATATGGATGTCAAATCGAAGAAATTAAAATATGATTATTTTAAGATATAACATACAAAAAAAATAAAAAAAATATAAAATTTAGTTATTATAACAATTATTATATGAATTAAATAAGAAAGAGTAAGAGTAGTATATGGTAACTTGAGAAAAAAAAATCTAAAATAGTTTATGGTAATTCTCAAGCCTAAAACCGAACATATACATGTGTCAATATAAATCATATTATTATGCCAAACAAATTTCTTGTATATTATAACTCAATACAAATCATTTTATTTCTTGTATAGTATATCTAAAATAATCATATTTTAACGATCTTCGATTTGACATCCATATTGCATATATAAAATAAAAAATAATTACATCTATCATTATAATAAAATTAAATTTATTAAAAAAATATTCTAAAAATAGAAATACAATATAAATTATTTTTTAATAAGTGTAATAAAAATTTAATTCTGAAATACACCATAAAATAACCATTTTAATGCGTGTTTTCAGAAATTTTAGAGAAAAAATTGTATAAAAAAATACGGGCCAATTTTAAATTAATTACTACTTTGTTAGTTATTCATTATTTATTATATTCATTATATATAATTTACAATAAAAAATTAAATTATTTTAATTTTTCTATTGTATAAATATCAATATATTAAGTACCCATGTAGTACACGGGTATAATCTTGTAAACAAATCAATTTTTTTTGATTCAATTCGAGATTGAATTCGAAGACAAATAATATTTTACATACGAAAGTTAAACGAATCCGAATTCAAAGTTTTAGATATTTGATTCGAAATTCGAATATTCGATTCGTTAACAATAATTATATAAATTTTATAAATTATATATAGTATACATTTTGTTTATAATATATATGTATATAAATTGTTATATTCCTAATATTTTTATGACATAAAAAGTAAAAATATCCTTAGTTAACAATTTCCCTAAAAATATATGGAAAAAAAATTATTTTTGTAATTATAATATTTTTCTGAAAACGAATTTCAAATATATGTTCGAATATTATAAACGAATCGTATACGAATCAAAAAATGAGTTCGTTAACGAATCGAATCCTCGAATATTTTAACGAATCCGAATCGAATATCTTAGTATTCGCTTTGATTCGATTCGTTTACAACCCTACACGGGTATCGTATTAGTTGATACATATTCCTCTTCAAAATTAGATAGGTCTTTGAATAAATATTTTCTAAAAAAATTTGAAATTCATAATTTAATTGTAGAGAATTAGTTGATAAATTTGAAAGACTGAATAACACCCAACAAAACCTTAAAAATCGTAAGATCTATATAATATAGATTTATATGAAATAATGATTAGTAAAATATAGAGTTTTTCTTTTTATTTGGATAGTTTATACAAAGTTTAATTTATATTACTTAATGAAAAGATATAAGTTTTATAATTATACTTAATATTCACATATATTTTTAAATATAAGATAAAATTTTTCCAAAATATTTATTTTATGGAACTACATTATATTCAAATTGAATTTTTGAATAAAAATTTTAAAATGACACTTATTTTGAAATGAAATAATGTACATTATTATCAGTTATGTACACCGTACGAGTTGTGTACGAATTTTAAATAGACATATTCTATAATTTAGCACAATATAAATTTCATATAACATTTTAAATAAATTAATATAGGGGGGGTATTAAATATTGATTTCATATTTTTTAATTTATAAATATTATTTAGTGAGAATTTTTAATATATATAAATATTAATGAATACCTATTTCTCATGCATCGCACTAGATTCATACTAGTTAGTTTTAATGAGTTTACAAAACCGATACCTATACTGGAATAAGACAGTACCAGTGTTGTAGTAACCCTGGACTTATATACTATCATTTAGTACGATTTATACAAACGAACATAAATATATACTGTAAATATTTGTTTACAAAAATGATAGCTCTAATGTACTAGGATAATACCAATGTTGTTGCAATTTAGTACCTATATATTGTGTGGAAGGAAAGAAAAATAAAAATAATAAGAAATTAAGAAAAATTAGTTGTAGGTAAGATAAATAGTAAATGATGAAAAAAGAAAATAAAAAAGAGAGAAATAAAAATAATGAAACATTAAGAATGTTAGTAGTGGAGAGAGAGAGAAACAATAAAATAATAAAAAGATGTAGTTGTTAGTGGGATGATGTCACAAATCAATTTCTTTGTGATTTATTTTAATAGGAGGGATTTAAATGGAAGATGAATATAGGGATAGAGAGTAAAATAGATAAAAATTATGCCTAGGGACTGACATGGAAGATGAAATTAGGATTGTGGGTTTTTAAAGAAAGCTCCCCATTTATATTATATTTATCAATAATGTACATATTTTAGATATAAAATTAAGTAAGAAATATAAACAAAAAGTATAAACGAAATTTTAAACATTACAATTATCGTTAGATAATGTTATATAAATAAAAACGTAACATATAATAAAAATATACTGAGTATAAACACAACATATACTGAAAATATACTGAGAGTTTGAACTAAGGTCTGTGTACCGTGGCAAGGTTCTATTCTACAACTACACCACAGGTGTTTATACGTTATCATTTATCAAGCTAGTAATACCTTTTTGTATTAATTGAACGTAAGAGCCTGAAATCCATGACCTACATGATTACATATTTACATTAACATATTGCTTATCGAATTCACGATGCTTTTGTAACTTAACCATGTGCGTGAGTTTGCTTAAAGGAAGCCTTGAAACTTGTAAGAACTAAAGTCATGACAAAGTCAAATTTATTAAGATCCTTTTATTCTTCTTATCAAACTACATTATTAAGATCCTTTGATTCCCATTCTCACTACTTGTTACACGGAGGAAGCGGTTCCCCACACAAACCGGCATTCCCCTCGAAATCCGAGGCCGGAATAGACACATTATGAGCCGGTATTTCCCCGCTCAAACGATTGTCCGAGACATTGAATCTCTTGAGGTACTTGAGGTTCAAAACCTCCATAGGAATCCCGCCACTCAATCCGTTCCCCGACAAAAGAATGGTGTTGAGCTCAATTGGATTCCCAAGCGATTTCGGTATTTCTCCGACGAGCTCATTTTTCTCCATCTCGAGCCTCCTCAAATAAAGCAACTTGCCGAGCGATTCGGGTATTTTCCCGCCCAAAGGGTTATTGGACAAAATCAAAGTATCTACGAAATTCATGACCGGCTTGTTCCCGATGTCGTCGTTGATGGGCCCACTAAACATGTTGTTAGAAAGGTCGATCGAGTTGTATTGCCCGAATGGGAACACGAATCGTTTTTCGAAAAACGCGTTTATATTTCCCGAGAGGTTGTTCGAGTGGAGATCGAGTTCGTCTAAGCGGACAAGGTTCCTGAATTCGTCTGGAACAGAGGAGGTGAATTGATTGTTGGACAATTTTAGAACGTAAAGGTTTGTCATGTTTCCAATCCATGAAGGTAGTTTCCCTTTTAGGGAATTACTCGACAAATCAAGAGCCCATAGGGAAGAGAACGAAGTCAGGCTGTTGGGCAGTTCCCCCTCGAGCCCTGTGCTCGCGAGCATCAGTTGAGAAAGGCTTAGACTTTTAAGCCAATCGGGAAAATTAATCAGCCCTAGAGGATTGAAAGACAGGTCAAGAAATTTTAGGTGCTTTAATTTAAGGAATTCAATTGGGATTGGGCCTGAAAGTTGGTTGTTTGATAAATCCAAGCTCTTTATATTCGTCAGATTTCCCAAACTGGAAGGAATTTTTCCTGTGAATTGATTGTTAGAGAAATAAATGCCTTGTAGCGTAATGAGTTGGCCTAGTGTTTGAGGTAGTTTTCCACTGAGTTGATTGCTTTGGAAAGACAGACTTTTGAGCCCCGTCAGGTTCCCAATCGACCGGGGTATCTCCCCTGTCAATTTATTTTCCGACAAACGGAGAAACAGCAGTGATCTGAGCCGGCCGACGGAGGAAGGGATTTTTCCGGTTAATTCGTTGCCGTCGAGGTATAACATCTCAAGCGCGCTAAGTTTGCCGATGGACACCGGGATTTTTCCGGTCAACCGGTTGCCGGAAAAATCGACGTACTTCAGATTCCCGAGCCCGCCTATGGATTTGGGCACATCTCCCGAGAAGTTGTTCTTGTGGAGGTCGAGGATGGCTAGCGAGGCCAATTTCCCGACCGATGGAGGTATCGGACCGGAAATTGCGTTCAAGGCGAGGTCCAATTCCGTCAGCAAAGTCATGCTAATAAAAAGGTCGAATGGGATTGGGCCCACGAGGCAGTTATCGTTAAGAAGCAATTTTTGCAAACGTGTCAGGTTTTGGAAGGTGGCGGGAATCGGGCCCGTTAGGTTGTTTTGGTTGAGAAAGATTTTGGTCAAGTTGGCCAGGCCACCGAGCTCGGTCGGTATGGGCCCACTTAGGTATTTGAGGTTGCTGAGGTCGAGGCGTTGGAGGGAAGTGAGGTTGCCGAGGAAAGGGGAGAGTTTTCCTGACATGGAAGTGTCGTCATCATCGTCCGAGGAGAAGCCCGCACGGGTGAGGCTAACGACCTGGCCCGTTATGGGATCGCACGAGACTCCCTCCCATTTGGTGCAGCAGTCGGTGTTGTAGGCCCACGTGCGGAGGAGGCCGGACGGATCGTCAGTTATCGTTTTCTTGAACGTGTAGAGGGCTTGTTTGTCATCTGGGTGGCACGACGAACCGGGTTTTAAGAGGGGGAAGGAAAGGAGTATGNAGGTTTTTGTAATTTTATCAGTGAACGGTTATGTGAAGTGCAATTGTGTTATCCATTTATAGCGGTTTGTCCAATGATGATAGGTGTCGTTTTTTTCTTTTTGTTTGAATTTTAATAAGAATTTACTAAAAATAGTAGCAAAAAAATAGGTTAGAATTTAATGCAGCCTATAAATAGTAAGTTTTATTATTTTTCTTATTTATTTATGTAAAAATTATACAGCATTAAATGTTACCTTAAATTTCGAGTTTCAGTTCATTTTATTATTTAAAAAATCCGGCTAAGATTTATTAAGTTCGTCTGTTTTTATTTTAATTTTTTTTCTTAGAAACAACGAACCATATTAAAATCTCGGTCTCTATATTTATAAATTCTCAATTCAAAATATAACAAAAGTTTTAAAATCTCCGTCTTTATAATTGTGCCTTTAGAAAAAATACTGAACGCTAAAAATATTCTTTAAATTGCTAATCAATCAATTAATCTTAATTATTTGAAAATTACTATGTTATTTTTTTATTAATATACATAAAGTAAAAATAATTAATTCATCTTTAAATATATAATTTATAATCTTAATATACTATCATTTGGTGTAGACATTTATTATATGCATCATAAAATATTCTTATTTCAAAAAATTAAATATATTTAAAGAAAATAAGAAAATTTTTAATGTATTGAAAAGTGGAGTATGTTGTCATGTTCTATCATCTCATAAATATGAGTCAGAGTCAGAAATCTATGGATATATCCATTTTAGGGCAAAACAGATTTCTATTTTTAGTTTTGTTCTCTTGTCTTTTTCTACCTCCCATTTATCTATTTTCTTTAGTTCTTTATTAGAGCAATTCTTGACTTTTTGAGAATGAGAATAAAATCTCTACAAGGTTGATATTATTCCCATGTTCGCACTGGCGGATCTAGCAAATAGAATGAGGGGGGCATGGTTATTTAATGAAAAAAATATAAAATATTATAACGAAAAGTGTAAATACAAAGACATAACGAGTTTTCATGTCCTGATATCGCTCAATAATAACATCATTGCCAATTTTCAAGTATGTTTCTTTTTCCACATAAACTTGTAGTTTATCATTTAACCAATCATTACTTAACCTTTCTGCAAATATGCTCTTCGAATTTGGTCTCTAATATTTGGAATGTACCTTGAGATTAGAATTCAATCCAATATCAGAGAGAAGTTGAGAAGAATTGAACTCCTTGATCACAATTAAACTTTCGTTCTTATTTTCTTTCTGTCCAGTGATACCAGAATTTCCCTCAAATTTATTTGGATTCAAAGTATCTCCTTTTGAGACATTTTCACAAACACTTTGTTGACGGAGTCTTTTTTTAAAATATCTTACAAAAAATAATATTATAAATTTACAATCAATGAAATTTTCGATTTCGACATATCACACTTTAAAGGGCTATAAGCACTTTAGAGATTGAATTTGCAATTTATACATAAAAAGAATATATTTACCACTACCTAAAAAATAAAGAAGAATAATTTTATCTCCACCCAAGTAAATATAAAAGGATTTCATTACCTCGCAAGTTGTCTTCTCGAACAATTGGAACAAAAATTGATAAGTTTTTTTTTTTTACTCTTTTCTCTCTTTCCCTTCACCTTTTTCCCTTCTTTTTTTTTTTCTTTTTATCCGTCTCCGTTCTTGCTTGAATTTTGCCAGCTCTTATTAAACAACCTAATGCTAATTTATTTGTTAAACCCTTTATTATATTAGTCTTAATTATTTGAACTTTTAATTAAATTTTTCTTTTTTTTTGTATGGGCAATATTACATGGGCTTAGGCTACATATATATGTCTTTTTTTTCTTCCAGAGTGGCCATAGGCCCACACTGGTTCCTATAAGCATCCGCCCCTACATGCTAGAAAGATGTGTTTATGAGTCTTAATTTCCATAATTTATCATATACAACTTGAATTGTCTTTTCATTGATAATTTTTGTTAGGATGTGCAATGAATTGACTTATTTGCTATTTTATATTGGAGTTATTTTGAACACAATATTCTACGTCTCTATAAAAGTATATATTGACCACCGACTTGGTAATTCATGGGCCGTTCTGAGGACAAATCGAATTACTGACAAAATGGTTATAATGACGTTGACCTCCAAGATAACCTTATGTCGTCAAACAATGCAAAAGGTGTCCCCTTCGTAAACATTATATGACTTCGGAATCACGATTCTTTACCGACATGGCAAACCGCTGGAACTGACGTGTCGAATCTGATGTGCCAAATAACTTCGGTGGCCACCGATTTCCCAAGTTCCCTCCACCGACGTGACGACAAAACTCAGACATAACCGAGCTCACTAATTGCGAAGCAGGTGACGAGACGCCTACGCGACATCCTTACGTTCCTTGCCTAACGTCATGACGATCGTGGGCCCACTGTCAAAACCGCCCACCTAAAGCTACTTTTTGTATAATCCTGAATTATTGGTGAGCATCGAACAACGTGTAATGAAAAAGTTACTATATATAGCTCAAAATTCCCTTAGTAGGAGGGGGGACTCTGTTCTTTACTCTGTGACAAAACTACCTCGGTTGCCATACCACCTACCACATATTAATTAATAAAAATCCTAATTTATCGCTCTTTTCTGTTGTGAATCATGTAATTCCACGTTAATTATGTTGTTACAAATCCATACGACAACAATTTGGCGCTAGAAGGAGGTGTTGGGATCTGTGAGGATCTCATTATGTACAAGTCACGAATTCAATAGCAAACGTAAACCTATGCGCAGCTGATCTAAAGGTTTGACGTAGAGAACTTACGGTTTAAAATTTATGTAGATCTGGTTAACCACGAATGGTTGACCGTAATTGATTTACCGAAAATCACGTCTTGGTTGCACGAACAAGATCAGATCAAAATCGGATCAAACAAGTGCAAACAGAGGAAGACGAATATTGCAGCCTGGGAGCTTCTGACGGTGCGTGCGGGCACGTGTAGCCTCTGACGGCGGCGATCTCAGCGGAGATGGAAAGCTCTCGTCGAGACGGTCGTCTGGGTATGCTGTGCGTCTCAATCGGACCTCCGGTTAGTTCTGTAGGATAAAATATATTTCGTCTCGGTTTAAATATAGATCTTCTACTGTATTACTCAATACACTATTCTTCAACTTGTACCAGTGGAGCAACAAGAAGAAGATAAAGCTCGAATGAGATCTAGAGAGAGAGAGAGGCGTGGGACGTCTCACGTTAGAATATGAATTATGTTCTCTTCTCATGAGCTTAATGATGTATATATAGAGCTACAGTAGGGACCCTTAAGAGATTAGGAAAAGAGCTCCTTAATTAATTAGACTAAATGTGAGTAAGCCTACTCCTCTAATTAATTAAATAATATTAATGGGCCACCAACATTATATTACTGCACTCCCTTTAATTACGGCGGTACCGTAATTACTTGGTTTGTTGCGTTCACACTTAAAGAGTTGGTTAATTACGGTACCGCCCCTAGTGTGAACACTCGCAGTATAACTTCAACCTCGTCCTGCTTGAATTTGTTTATACAACCCAATTCAAGCAGGACGAGGTTGATTATATACTGCGAGTGTTCATCCTAGCCCAAATTACATTTGAGACTTCAATAATAATTACTCGATTTACCTCCCCACGTTTAAGATATAATTTTCATTAATTAATTCGATTACTGACAATCAAGAATTAATTAATTTATTATAATTTCACCTAAGCTAGAGCTCGTTCATCACATTCTTATTATGCCGGAACTTAATCCACATGCAAGGTTTAGCATAACAATCCTTCATGAACTCACTCCGGGGACATCATCTAATTAACGCACATGGTGACCGTAAATATCCTAACAGCACATCCTATATATAATAATATTACCCAAAACAGTAGGAATATTAATCCAGCGAACTGAACCTCACCCATGTGAATTAAAGTAATATATATTATATATATCTGCATGTTTAATATCTTACGGGTTAAGAGAACGCATTAATTAACCGAGGCCTAGTTCATTTACGACGATCAGTATAAAATGAACTTCTCCTCTCTGGGATCCTGTTCAATACATAAATGTACTAGTGCAACTAATCAGTCAAGACAAACTGTACAGTTGACACTACAACCGTTTGGATGGGGTGTTCATGTCCATCTGGGTTGTGAACAACTATTCTTGTTCGCAAGTGACTGATAGAGTGATCTTCGGTTCGCCCGATGATGTCCCACCCTATCTAAGTGCAGAACAACAGAACGTAGAACTTGTTTAATCTAACATGATTCTCATTCATAAAGGGCAAATGTGTAATAACATGCAAAGCCAAGCTTTCAGTATATAACACTAACAATCTCCCATTTATACTTAAAGCTTTCGCTTTTACAGTATAATCCTATCAATCCGTTATTCTAAAAGACCTATGTCGATCCTATTGTCATGATCATGACTCCCATTCCTTCCACGTGTTTGACGAAGACCTTCTTCGGCAAACTCTTCGTGAAAGGATCAGCTAGGTTGTCCTCTGACGCAATCTTGGCAACATCAACGTCTCCTCTACCAACGATATCCCGAATCAGATGGTATTTGCGCTCTATGTGTTTGTTTGGCCTGTGGGCTCGAGGTTCTTTTGAGTTCGCTACTGCTCCACTGTTATCACAGTACACGGTGATACCACGTGGCAAACTCGGTATAACCTCTAAGTCCACTAAGAAGCTCCGAAGCCAAAATGCCTCTTTCGCTGCCTTTGAGGCTGCTATGTACTCAGCTTCCATGGTAGAGTCTGCCACGCATTTCTGCTTAGCACTCCTCCATGAAATGGCTCCACTTCCCTAGGTAAAGACATAACTTGAGGTTGACTTACTTTCATCCCTATCTGACTCGAAATCGGAATCACTGTAACCCAGAGGTAACAAGCTGCCTGCACGGTAAACTAACATGTACTCCTTAGTCCTTCTCAGGTACTTGAGTATATGTTTCACTGCAGACCAATGTTCCTGTCCCGGTTACTTTGATATCTAGCTACCATGCCAACGGCGTAGCTAATATCCGGCCTAGTGCACAACATTGCATGCATGAGACTTCCTACTGCCGAAGCATAAGGAACTGTATTCATCTTCTCTATCTCCTTAGACGTCTTAGGAGACATCTCCTTAGATAGAGATATTCCATGTCTGAAAGATAACATACCTTTCTTGGAATCCTGCATGCTGAATCTGGCCAAGATAGTATCTATGTATGGAGACTGGGATAAGCACAACATTCTCTTCTTACGGTCTCTAATGAGCCTAATACCAAGAATGTGTCCTGTTTCACCTAAGTCCTTCATATCAAACTGCTTAGACAACCACACCTTTACGTCTGATAACTCCTTCTTACTGTTTCCAATAAGTAGTATGTCATCTACGTAAAGCACAAGAAACACCACCACGCTCCCATTGATTTTCTTGCAAACACAGTGCTCATCTGGACATTGAGTGAACACGTACAACTGGATCACCTCATCAAAACGGATGTTCCAAGATCTCAAAGCTTGCTTCAGTCTGTAAATAGACCGATTAAGCTTACACACTAGATGCCACGACCTTCATCAATGAGTCCCTCCGGTTGCTGCATATAGATGTCTTCCTGCAGGTTCCCATTAAAGAAAACTGTCTTGACATCCATCTGCCAGACCTCATAGTCCATATGAGCGGCTACAGCCAAGAGAATCCGAATGGACTTAAGTATAGCTACTGGCGATAAAGTCTCATCATAATCAATACCCTCGATCTGGGTATAACCTTTTGCAACAAGCCTAGC